GTAATTTCCGGGAGAGAAAAAGCTGCTTCTGTAATGACCCAGCCACTCCTAGTCCCTATTCAAACCCAGATTAATGGTGTTAAATTTGCAAATGAATTTTAGTTCTGCTGTTTCTCTTTGAAGTCTGTTTCTGAAGTTTTTTTGTTCAATGATAGTGACTTTTAAATCTGTAATAGAATGACCAGGGAGCTTGAAGTGTTCACTTACTGGCTTATGTATGTTATCAGACATCAGGAATGGTTTGTGTCCATTTATTCTTTTGCGGAGGGACTGTCCGGTTTGGCCAATGTACATGGCAGAGGGGCATTGCTGGCACATGATGGCATAACATTATTGGATGTGCAGGTGAATGAGCCCTTGATGGTGTGGCTGATGTGGTTGGGTCCTCTGATGGTGTCACCAGAGTAGATATGGGGACAGAGTAGGCAACGAGGTTTGCTACAGGGATTGGTTCCTGGGTTGGTGTTTCTGTGGTGTGGTGTGTAGTTGCTGGTGAGTATTTGCTTCAGGTTGGGGGGTTGTCTGTAAGCGAGGACTGGCCTGCCTCCCAAGGTCTGTGAGAGTGAGGGATCATTTTCCAGGATAGGTTGTAGATTGTGGATAATGCATTGGAGAGGTTTTAGCTGGGGGCTGTATGTGATGGCCAGTGGTGTTCTGTTATTGTCCTTGTTGGACCTATCCTGTAGTAGGTGATTTCTGGGTACCCGTCTTGCTCTGTCAATCTGTTTCCTCACTTCCCCAGGTGGGTAGTGTAGTTTTACGAATGCTTGATAAAGATCTTGTAGGTGTTTGTCTCTGTCTGAGGGGTTAGAGCAAATTTGGTTGTATCTTAGGGCTTGGCTGTAGACAATGGATCGTGTGATGTGTCTTGGATGGAAGCTGGAGGCATGTAGGTACGTATAGCAGTCAGTAGGTTTCTGGTATAGGGTGGTGTTTATGTGACCATCACTTATTTGCACTGTAGTGTCCAGGAAGTGGATCTCTTGTGTGGACTGGTCCAGGCTGAGGTTGATGGTGGGGTGGAAATTGTTGAAGTCCAGGTGGAATTCTTCAAGGGCCTCCTTTCTGTGGGTCCATATGATGATGTCATCAATGTAGTGCAAGTAGAGGAGGGACACTAGGGGATGAGATCTGAGGAAGCATTGTTCTAAGTCAGCCATAAAAATGTTGGCATACTGTGGGGCCATGCGGGTACCCATGGCAGTGCCACTGACTTGAAGGTATATATTGTCCCCAAATGTGAAATAGTTGTGGGTGAGGACAAAGTCACAAAGCTCAGCCACCAGGCATGCTGTGGCCTCATCAGGGATACTGTTCCTGACAGCTTGTAGTCCATCCTCATGTGGAATATTCGTGTAAAGTGCTTCTACATCCATGGTGGCCAGGATGGTGTTTTCAGGAAGAACACCAATGCAGAGTAATTTCCTTGATTTTTGTAGATACAGACTAACACGGCTACCTCTCAAAACTAACAGGGTTCAACAACAACAACAAAAAACAAACCTAGATAAGTTAGGAGGATAGGTTCATCAGTGGCTATTAACCAGGATAGGTAGGGATGGTATCCCTAGCCTTGGTTTGCCAGAAGTTGGAAATAGGAGACAGGAGATGGATCACTTGATAACTACCTGTCCTGTTCATTCCCTCTGAGGCACCTGGCATTGGCCACTGTTGGAAGACAGGATACGGGGTTAGATGCACCTTTGGTCTGACCCAGTATGGCCATTCTTACACACATCTGGTTTTGGGCAAGTCCTTGTTCCATGAAAAAATTCAGTTTGAGATAAGGGAATGGTTGGCTTCTGCAACACCCTTTGTTCTGGCCTACTCCCTCAGCAAAATACAAGTAGAGCTGAAGAGTAAGTATCTTTCAAAGGAAAGAGTTGGTTTAAAAAAAAAAAAAAACCACCACAAACACACCCACCCAGCTATTTTGCCAATTCCCCATGGCTTGACAGTTCTAGGGAGTCTTTCCCCTTTAAGTTGCATACATTTTACACTGTCATTATTATAGTATTGTCCCCCCATATGGAAGAAGGAAGCCATCTTGTGTTTAAGCAGGGAAAAGCTCTCATTGCCTTTCTGTCAGCACATAGGCCCAGAGAACACACCAATATGCACTTTGACAGTTTTCTATAATAGCAGGATGTAGATGCTCTTATTTTTAAAGAGATTTCTTAAATACTCCTGCAGTTTTCCTATCAGAGGATAACTTCAGTTTCCCTTGCCCTAGATTCCTGTTTTGCCCTCACTGCTTTCAGATCTGCTGTATCCTACTAACTCCTGTGAAGTGGTAGAGCCTGACTCCTCTGATGTCCTTACAACTCCAGGGGAGCTTTGTGGCTTATACCCACTGAGAGTCTGGACTACTGAAACTGCAACCTAAGTAATCCAATTTTAGTCTTAGCCTGATTATCTTCAGTGATCTATTTCTTCATCTTCTCTTACAGTTCTTGAGAACTCCACAAAGAGGGTGCCACCTTTGGCCCTAGCCCAGCTGAGCTCTTACAGCTCAGCAGCTGTAAGAGAGACTTTCAACAAGAATACTGGCTAACTGGTCATTAATGGCTCAGGAAGTGTTTGCAAGTAGTATGCCACTCCTTTGAGGCAGGGAGGAGAATTCATTTGGCTGATGGCCTGGGACTGAAAGGTCATAGCAAGCTGTCCCCAGAGGGAAGTATTCATCATTCTGCAGGAACTGTTACTCATCCTAGGGCATGGGGTGACCTTAGTCCCACTAGGCTGTTGGTAGTCCAAATGAGTGTAGCACTCCACCTCTTGAGCTTCATGCTCTTGTGGTGTAGTAATTGTACTACTACCACCACCACTGCTAGACACATACCACCCTGCCTGCCTTTCACCCTGCCAGGAGAAAGCTGAAGGTTAACACTGGCCTCTGTGCTGAGAGGAAGGACTGGGAAAAGTTACTGCTACTTGACTGACTCTTCACAATTCCCCAGGGCTCCCACAAGGCCTGTCAGGTTGCCCTGAAAGACTGCTTCAGGGAGCCATGCAATAGCAACCTGAGGGCACTAACTGAAGCAGTGTTCCTTGTAGCAGGAGGGGAGAATTGAAAGTTTCATTTTTTAGTGGAGACCGATCCTGTCAATTGAAGAGTTTCTGGGGCAGAAAGTTTTGTCTTTAAAGCCCAAAGCGAAGGGAGCCTATGCCCACACACAAGGCAGTACAGATGCCCCTGCTTGTATGCTAAGTACATTAACAATCAAGGCAGGAGGCTACAGCCAGGTGAAGCCTGAAAAGGTAATCTGTTCAGAATGCTGACAAGGCAGCAGGTGTTCCACCACTTTGTGTAGTTGGGTGCTAGTAGTGGTCTTGGTCATGCACCTCAATGGAGGCCATTCTAATGTGCACTGAGGGGGAAATTTCAGGCACCAGGAAGGAGAGAAACTCACCTTGTCAAAGGCTACATGTTGGGATCTCAATTCAGTCGAGTACAAGACCTTGCCTGCCCCATCCCAGTAGCAGCTGCCTCCCAGCTGACCAGAGAGACCCAAAGATGGCAGATACGTCTGAAGTGTTTATTGCAATGTAATTTCAGGCTGCATTTCTTTGTACTCACTACATTGCAGAGACAAGTTTCACGAGCAGGGTTCCCGCAAGTGCTACACCAGCAACAGCTAGCACCCCGGGTGCTCCAGCAGTCACGGGCAGTCCTGTTAGAGAGATGAAGAGTATAACTATACAGGCAAGCAGGGGCATGGGAGAACTGAAGCCCCTTTGTTGCTTCAAATTAGGCCCTACCCATATTGAGGAAGGAGCTATATGTGCATCATGATTTTAGGTGTAGAGGAGAGTTGTTTCACACCAAATATTAAGCTGGTGGACATTAATGTCATTTGATGCCTCACTCTTGCAGATTCCCTTGGTTGGAAGCCCAGAGCCTTTAGCCTGTGCTTACATCTGAAAGGGGATAATTCTCCCAATGGTTTGTTAGCTGGAACATCTCTGGAAAATTTGGCCTCCCTCCCAATGGTCATGGGCCTTTCATCTTCTCAAGTCTAATGTATTGAGGCAAACAGTAGGATGCTGAAGCCTGTTGACTTCTGCTTTAGAAGCACTGATTACCATTACAAAAGTGATTTTTCCTTCTGTTAATATCCCACTTTAATTGAATTGTCTCATTAGAACTGACACCCAACTTGCTAAGGCAACTCCCATCTTTTCATACTATATAAATAAATAAAAATACACACACACAGTACATCTCCCTACTGTATTTTCCACTCCATGTGTCTGATAAAGTGGGTTTTAGCCCACAAAAGCTTATGCCCAAATAAATTTGTTAACAAGGAGTATTTGTGGCACCTTAGGCTGTTAAGTCAGGAGAGTATACTAGATCAGATCCCAGTGTCCAATTTAAGAAGGGACGGGGATAATCTAGTTTGGCATTAAAAGGGAAATGTTTAGAGACTGGAGCCTGTGTTATTCCCAACTAAGTGTTTTTATAAAGTAATATGCAACAAATTGCTATATATAGTTCTGTCTATGGTCTATCCCTGATTTTTTTTAATTAAATAACCTACATCTAAACAGAGGGAGCATGAGAGCTAGATACTTCATTAGTATGAACCCCTCATTGGCATTTTAGTGGCCAAAAGGAGCAGCAATTGCAGTTTTTACTTTGGGGCCCTCCTGATGCTACCATAATCTGAATTGGGGTTGCAGTTGACCTTTCAAGTGTTATAGGAGCCAACAGAGCCACCTGAGAGTTTTCTCCAACTCCTCCCAAGGTGATGAGGGTAAAGATCAATCCTCCACCCTGGTATTGGCCCAAGTTCAGACACCTAGGGATGGAGGTTCTAGACTCAGATGCTTACAACTGGCAGGTTGGCCAGTGCAAGGACATCAGTGCCAGGCAGGGAATAGTGCATCTTGGTGCTCATCTGATGAGAAGGTGATGTCACATCCCTATAACTGATGCAGCTCTGGCAGGGTTATTTATGGCTGCACCCAAGCACCCTTGTAGAGAGACTTAAGTTCTAGGAGTGGTCAGGTCTGTGGTACTCACGAAAGCTCTGCACAGCATCATTCCTTTCTACACCATCCTGGAGAAGAAATACAGGCCCCCTGCTGGTGACGGGGGAAAGGCCAGTCTCTGGATGATGCTCAGAGCTCCTTCTACCTCCTGAGAGATACATGAGGAACATGTTTTAGATGCAAAACAGCATTGCCCCAGACTGACCTGTTTCCCCATCATCCCAGAGGAGACTGCCAGACAGTACAAGTAAGTTAGCATCCCCTGCAGCAAAGATTGCAATGCACAGCTCTACTCCCCCATTCTCCAATAAAGATCAAAGTTTGGACAAGTTGAAGAGGCAGCTGCACTGATCTCAAGAATGCAGTGCCTAGCAAACAGAAGTGACACGTTCGCACTGCATAGAAGTCTCATCTGCTGCACCCTCAGAGGGTGCTAGCCACGATCACTGCCCTTTGAAAGGGTGAAGTGTCATCAACCTTAAGAGTCCTAAAGTCATGCCAGGCCCAAATCACAACTGACCCCAAAATAGAGTTTTGGCAGGTCTGTGCAACTCCTGCCTAGTGGAAGTGCCTTGTGTACAGGCCAATGGCCACTTGCCTCCTGAAGGATCAGCCTTGCTTTTCAGCCAGGCATCACCAGCCCCCAGTGGTTGTTATAGAGCCACTATTGAGTACAGGAGTCCTGGCAGCAGCCCTTATCCCCACACTCTAGAGAGCAGAACTGGTACACTTACTGGCTCCAGCAGAGCAGGAGATGGTGCAGGACTCCAGCCTGGAGGGCAAGCATACGGAGGCACTGCAGTGCAGGTACACCTAGAGGAAAGACATGTGAGGCACTGCAGTGCAGGTACACCTAGAGGAAAGACATGTGTTAAGAATCAGGCTCTTGCAGTTCGCTATAGGAGCAGTGCTGCAGCGGGTTCTCTAAACAGACTAGGGGCTGCTGTTGTACCCCAGCACTTTACTCCCCAAGGCTTCTGGGAGCACAGCCAGTAGGTGAACACCCCCTGGGAGGGAGCCCAGTAGTCTGGCCCTCTGCTATCCCACACTAAGGGAAGGAGATTCAGTGTCAAGTCACAGACAAGTCTGGATTGGGTTTAGACTGTCAGAGCCATCCACTCTGGAGAGGAGGGCAGGAAAAAGAGCCAAAGGGTTAGAAATATAGTGTACTCCCAATGGGAATGGGAGCAGCTAATGCACTTGGAAGAGCTCCCTGAAAGGCAGATATTGGCAAACACAGAGCCGGTTGTTAGGAGAGAGATTGCAGGAGAGTTTCTCCCTGATATGTCACATCTACAGAGCAAAGCAGTAGTCAGAGGTCTCAGTGTGAGCTAAGAGGTGGGGACAGCACCATGTACTTCAAGTAGTAAGACAACAGCACCCAAATCTACTTTACAAATCAGTCCTTAAGTTGGTTCAGTCTATTTGATACTGAACAGTCAAGGCAGTTTGGTCAAGACTCCCACTACCATAAAGCATCTGCTAGCATCTCAAGTGCCGGGGACATTTTCCTCCACATACTAGTTTAAAGCTCTAGAAAGATAGTTCTCAACCTGCGGCCCAGTCAGCACAGAGCTGCAGCCCACGTGACATCCTCAGGGCCATACAGGTAGTATTGGATGCAGCTCAATGATAAATAGGTTGAAAATCACAGCTCTAGAATGAGCAGCATCTGACATTGCTTCCCCACCCACTGCGGGAAGCATGCTCTAGCATAGCGTTTTTCCTCAGTCAGTAAATATTTCACATTTGTGACACCTCAAGAGACCTGAGGCAGGTCAGTCTTTAGCATGGGGATAAGTGACTGCCCCAGGTCCCAGTGAGGAACTTAGAAAGTGGGTTTAGGTGACCAGTCCCATAGTTTCCAACTCCAAGTCCTGAGACAAGGCTGTAGGGCAAGTATATTTCTACACCCAATCAGGGATAAAGGTTAGTTTTAAAGGCTTTTCCACATGGCCTGCCGCCCTGCCATTTACAAAAAGAGCGGCAGAGGCTCCATTTTTGAGCCGCTTCTTCCCAGACTCTAGGAAGGAAGTGTCCCAGTCTGCACTGCAACACCACGGCCTCTCCCTAGTCATCAGCTACAGAACCCCAGTTGGCCATTAGCTGGTTATGATTCATCGGAGGTGTTGGTTTGCTTCAGCATGAATGGTCAAAGCCCCCTTCTGCTTGTCTGAGGACCCTGTAGGCGAGGTCTCATATCCACTCTGAGCAGCACACAAGAGGCTGGGCTGCTGTTCCAATGGAGCAGAGCTACAGCGGCTGACACGAGCATTGAAGAGAAGCCATACCGGCCCTGTGAGTGCCCGCTGGGAGGTAGACTCCACGAAGGTGAAGGTGCTGACGATGAAGCACTGGTGGTGAGATGGGAACTGCAACCCCGAGGCGGCTCCCACAGGCACCAGCTGGGTGCGGTAGTTGTCTCCTGCATACGGGCACCTGGGGGTGGGGGGAGAGGAGAGCAGCTGTGAGAAGTTGCCCTGCACTCCCCAGGCCCAAATAGAGACCCCTCACCCTGGACCCCCAGTCACTCACCCATCCACCAGGATAGGCCACTGTGGCTGCTGCTGGGGGTTGGCACTGGGAGTGGCCCAGCAGTGGTGCAGGACCAGAACTAGATCTGGGTTAGTTCTCTGAAGGATCCGGACCTCCATGTAGATGGGGTCCTGCAGAACCTTCACCACAGGATAATCTCGGTCTGTATAGTAGGAGCCATAATTCTGCTCTGGAACAGAGATGGGCACAGAGGGGTCACTGCAGATCAGCATCAGATGCATGTAGAGAAGCTTAGTGCATCATACAGAGCTGACACCCACAGGCTGTTCAGGGGGGCCTGGACTCCCAGCTCAGGGGGCAGTGTTCCCACTGTGCTAGATCTAGCCCACAAAGCAGGAGCAGGGCTGCCTTTCCATACACCGAGGACAGATACAGCTCACTTCTGGCTGAGAGTGAAGTTAATTGCATCCTAAAATCAAAGTGCAAAGGATAGTCAAGTCACAGCCTTATCTCCCCCATCCTCCCTAGATCCACTCCACAGGGTCTTAAGGCCTTATCTGGGCTGGAGGGGCAGCTAAGCCAGCGATCAGATTCTTGCACCAAGGAGGTAAGAATGAGCCCCTGCTCCCACACAGCACTTGCCAAGGAGCTCTCCTACCTATAGCAATGCGTAGCTCCAGCATCAGGGGGCCAGGCTGGGACACAGCAAGGGGTGGGGGCAGGGTGAAGACCTGGATACTCAAGGGGAGGAAGTTCCCACTGATGGAGTAGCTGCAGCTGACATGTAACCTGGTGGTGTGAGTGCCAAGAAGATGAGAGATGATCAAGGCCAGGCATGCACTGCAGAGAAGGCATTGAGGGGAAGGGCACCAGAGGGGGTGGGGGGTATGAACCCCCCAGGGGGAGGGACAGGGTTCAGGGGAGCTGAATTGCCCCATTAGGGGCACCTGGAGGAGAGGCAATTAAGGATTAGTCCCATCTGGGGAGAACCCCATGGGTGGTTCCTATAGATGAGGGACTGCAGGGCAATAGGGAATGACTGAGGAGAGCTGCCACAGGGAGTTCTACTTTGAGATTGGCCCCATGGAGACAGAGCAGCTGGGGTTCCAGGCAGGTGCCAGGGGAGCCCTAGAACTGCCAAGAGGAGGCTCCCCAGCAAGAAGCCTCACAAGGAATCAGATTTCCAAAGAGGAGTGAATGGTGAAGTCCTGGGAAAGGCACCTGTGGGCAGGCAAAGGTAGGAAGTGGAGGGTCTTGTAAGGAGACCGTGTTAGCTGCTTGACCCCAGGGTTCCTGGACTGGAAGCCAGAGCAGAGGGTGGGCCTGGTTCCCTTTCCTATCCCCTCTCCTGGGGATGGGAGACCTCCAACAGGGAGCAGAGTAAGTGACTACAGAACCTGGGCTGGGGCAGGTGACCCAGCACAGGGACAGATGCTTTGGCATGTCAGACTCCTACAACAGAAGGAGTGAGTATGAGGGACCTGACCAGAGGGCTGGAATCCTGAGCAGAGGCTGAATGCGGAGTTGCTACAATGCCAGGCCTGGCTGCAGAGGGACATGCTGGCTGGTGAGTTCATTCCATTTCCTCCCTGCACCCCAGCCCAGGAAAGGGTTACAAACCAATATCCCCTTTATTGACTGGCTTCACACTTGCCCCCATTCACCTCACTCCTCATGGTGAGTCTTCCCCCAAGGAATTGTGAGAACCCAGGGTTCTGGGGAGAGTCACTGTACAGTGCCTGGCACCTGCCATGTAACAGCTGGCTGGAGGAACAGCTGGCCCTGAACCACTCCCATGCTATTGCCATGAGCTGAGCAGGGCTCACATGACAGAGGCAGCTCTGGAAATGCAGGGCAGAAGGGGGCAGAGATACCAGCCCCAGGAGTTACCTGAAAGTGCTGTCCCAGGTGATGGAGCCCAGACTCCAGGTTCTCACATCCCTGTCTGCCACCAGTTCATTCTCATACACACCCTGGGCTCCAGCCATCTGCAAGGAGAGAGCAGTCACTTGTTTTATTTAGCGTGTGCATAGTCATCTAACCAAGCAATGGCATCTTCAGCAGTGTGATGCAGTTATTCTAGCCCACTGCTGAGCCTAGTCAGCAGGCATTCATCGACAACATGCGTCATAGTCTGTGTTGCGCCACAGCTGCACAAAGGGCTGTCACAAAGACCCCAGCAATACTGGTTGGCTGCACAGAGACCTTGCCTGGTCCAGAACCTGTTCAACAGAGACCATTGGCGACGGGGCAGGTCAAAACCAGGTGGGCAGATTGTGCGGTCAGCAACAAGGGACTGGTTGGGGATTATAACAGATATCCATTCCTCTCGCCAGAGTGTTTCTGCCCTAACATCCTGGCGTGGCAGATGAGACCATAATGGGCAATGTGAGGGCAAACATGCAGCTGGTGGTTTAAAAGGTCATTGTGCAGCAGCAGGCTTAGTTGGGATGCACTTTCTCCAGTAACTTACCAGTGGTAACCTCTCATCGGATATAAGGAGGAGCAATATTGCTCAGAACTGGAAGCCATCAGGCTGGAGTTGGACACAGAGTGCCAGAGCGGATACGCAGGGTGGCATGTAACTGCATATCCACCAATTTGGTGTGTGACGATCTACTCCAAACTGGTGCACAGTGCTCTGCAGTAGGTCACTGACTACTGGCTTTGACTCTTGCAGGGCCAGGCTTCAGCTGAGGGGAAGCCAGAGATTTGCCCCAGAGGAGCCACTGTTTGTTCAGCAGGGTTTGTTGCTGCATCAACCTCAGAAAGGGACCTGCCAGTGCACCTTCTTCCGATCTGAACCCCCTTCTATTCCAGCTGAAGGGCCCCATCCTGGCCTCCCCCAGCTCAACTCTTACCTGGAAAGTGGTGCCACAGGCAGAAAGTGGGAACCAGAACAGGACAAAGGCATTGTTCTGCCCCACAGGGACACAGCCAGCACCACGCCCACTGGCCAGACGAACCGAGTCCAGGATCAGGGGAGGCAGAGTCACAGCCCGAGAGACCGCGAGGGAGAACTGGCCATCTGGAGTGCACTGCGCTGTCACTGGAAGGGAGCCAGGGACAGGTCAGGGTCACCCTACCACCTGGGCTAGTCAGTCTCAGGACACTGGAGCGGAAGCCAGCAGCTGGTCCTGGAGCTGGATAAGAACCCACCGTATTCTACTGCACCCCTCCAGGGCACCCCGAAGGGCACAGGCTGGCACTGCAAGGGACCCTGGCAGCATACAGCTCATGGTGGAGCTGCAATGGTCATGAGTCATGTGCTGTGGATTCCAGGCCATTGGACTGGGTCTGTTATTGACATGGCTGAAGCACTCAGCCCTCAGTCTGAGGCTGAATGGAAAGTGTTGCACATGGCCTTGTTATATCACACTAACCAGCCCAGCACCCAGCTGTCTACAGGACTGGGTACATGGAAACCCCACTCAGTTTTGATGCCAGGTATCTCAGACACTGCCCCCCACACGCAGGACCATTAGTCAGCTCTGGACAATTCATGTGCACAGAAACTCACCTGTATTGCCATAGTAACAAGGCTTCAGCCTATCACTGGGGTTGTAGTAACAGCCTTGTTCTTCACAGTCTCCCTGGGCAATGGGTGGGGAGGCACAGGGCAGCCTGTCCTGGCTCTGGATAGCAGCACAGACACCGGGGCTTGGAGCATCCAGGGCTGGGGTGAAACAGGTGGGAAGCAGTATGGCATTCAGAGCAAGAGGAAGGAACAGAGACTAGGTGGGGCAGGAGGCTGGGCTACAGAACATGCTCCCTCCTGGCTAGGCTGGAGCCTTTGAGGCTCCTTCAGGACCCCAGGGGTTCTGCAGGACAGACATCCTGCTTCCAGCTCATAAACACTTTGCAGAGGGGCTTCAGTCAATCATCCAGCACCACAGGGGGGACCTAGTCTGTGCATTCTCAGCCCCAAGACTCACGATTTAATCCAGGACCAGTTTGGGTAAAGGGGTAGTGGAGACATGGCCTCTAGGAGAGCCTCCAGCACCAGTCACCATACCCAGGCCCTTTATTGCATTAGCCCTTAGGTCACTGGCCCTACAATGGCCACTTGACCCCAGTGTGGAGAAGGGGGAAGACACAGGCCTTCCCCATGGAGGCAGACCGAGGCCTCCCTTTTTCCAGCTGGAGGAGAGCAGCCATCTCTATGAGATCATTCACAGCCACCAGTGGTGGCATGCAGCATAAGACATTAGGCCCTCACCTGGCAGGCTCCTGGGACACCTGAGCACTTTCTCCTCACGCAGGGCTCTGTGCCCACCAGCAGCCATCCCCTCAATGCCAACCACCATCAGGTAACCACCATCCTGGGGAGAGAGACCCACAGATATCAGGGCTGGCAGAGCGGCAAACAGAACCCAAGGCAGGTGCCAGAAGGTCACTCACCCATTCCAAGACAGAACAGCCAGCATAGGAGGCACCAACTGTCCTGGAGCCATCTGCAGCCCAGGAGACCCAGACCCCACAGCTGGAGTCATTCTGCAGAGCATGCAGCCTCCCAGCCGTATCTAGGGAGCAACAAGATCAGCAGCCAGTGCAGAGGAAAAGGGCACAAGAGCCATCCAAGGAGCTACTGCCCCCCTGCACAGAGGGGTCAAGCTCTTGACTGGCAGGGGGCTGCGCAGGCTCCCAAGCCCCAGCAGCACTGCTGGGAGCATGAACTCCAGCTCAGGTTAGCCATTGCTGCCCAGGACTCAGCCAGCTGCTGGGCAGGGCTTGGACAGGTTGAGGGATCCCTGGGAGATAATCAGTCCCTTCTCCTCTCCCTGGACTCCCCCCAGGCATCCAGGGAGGGGCACACAGGTCTGGCCTCACTTACCCCAAGCAGTCAGTGCCAGGGACCCCACCCCAGCCTGGCCAGGAGGCAGCATGAACTGCAGGCTTCTCTGGCCACAGACCAGCCCCCTAGGAACTCCCAGGGCTCCCAGAGCAAAGGGGCAGTACAGCAGCCAGAAGCACTTCACTCCCCCAGGGAGGCCCCCACCACACTCCAGCCATACTCCTACCAGTGACCCATAAGTAGGGTGACCAGACAGCAAGTGTGAAAAATCGGGACGGGGGTGGGGGGTAATAGGAGCCTATATAAGAAAAAGACCCAAAAATCAGGACTGTCCCTATAAAATCGGGACATCTGGTCACCCTACCTATAAGGCACCTGCCCCCAGCCTGCCCACTTTGTACCTTGCAGGCAGCTGGGATTGGCCAGAGCCCAGGTGGCCATTCCTGCAGACCCAGGGGGAAAGAGCCCAGCCCCTCCCCTGAGGTCTGGCCACACCCTGCCCCAGCAAGCTTTGGGGGTGGGCTAGAGCTGCCTGGCCCTTCTCATGAGGAAGCAGATGGGTCTGTGTTCATGGCCCGTTGCTGATGGAAGGTCAGTTTATTCTTTCCCATTGGAACCCAGGGAGGGTTCAGACCTTCCTCCCTCTCCAAATGCTGGTGCTGGGCCTCGCCCTGCTGAGGGGTCAGCCCAGCCCCTCACCAAGGCCCCCCTGCTGCATGATGGGGGCTTCTGCTGTTGCCAGGGCATCTGCCACCAGGCCAGCTCTGGACTCACCAGACTCCCCCTGGAGCAGGGAGGCTCCTCGGGGCCAGTCCCAGCTGGCCACTGCTCAGCTCACAGGCCAGGTTCCCTGCATCAGGCCCCTGCAGAGGGAGCTGTGAGAGGGGGAGGGCCTGAGTCCCCATTGCCATAGTTACCAAAGCAGAAGGGAAGTGTTTTACCCCCTCTGCTGTAAATGAGGTGCAGGCCAGTGGAGAGTCAGGCCCAGAGAATCCAGCTCTAGTGGGAAGCTAGGTTTGGTTCCTCTTTGTGCCGTCACTTCCCAGCCCAGCAGGGACCCAAGATTATCTGAGTCTTTGGAGTCTTGGGGACCTCAAACTCATCTCTATTTCCTTTCAACAAATGCGGGGCCTGGACCTGCTATGGGAGTTTGGGCCAAGGGAGGTGTGTATGGGACATGGGATGTGCTTAAAGCTTGTGGTTTCCTGACAGTTCCAAAATACAAATGGAAAACAATTTTCATCCCATGGATCCCAACTTCATTAATCAGGAGGGGGGAACTTTTGAGCTACATCACAGCCCTCTACCATTGAGCTAGAGGCTTCCTTGATGCCTTCGACTCCCTTGATGCCTTCGAGGAGCAGTGGGCGCTGTCTGGGGTTCTCTGCTCAGTGTCCCCATCCGGTACCCTGGTTTTGAACTTATGACCTTCACCTGAGTCCCTGTTTTTCTCATTTGTTGTCTCCTGCGTTCATTTGGTCCCTGGGTCTAGTGGTCCCTCCCACCTCCCGGATTTCCAATAAGACTAGGCTGTTAGCCTCTATGACAGGGGCCGGCAAACTTTTTGGCCCGAGGGCCACATCTGGGTATGGAAATTGTATGGTGGGCCATGAATGCTCACGAAATTGGGGTGGGGCCGAGGGCTCTGGGGTGGAGCCAGAAATGAGGAGTTCAGGGTGCAGGAGGGGGCTCCGTACTGGGGCAGGGGGGTGAGGGCTCCGGCTGGGAGTGCAGGCTCTGGGGTGGGGCTGGGGATGAGGGGTTTGGGATGCAGAAGGGTGCTCTGGGCTGGGACCAAGGGGTTCGGATTGTGGCAGGGGGATCAGGGATGGGGCAGGGGGTTGGGGCACAGGAGGGGCTCAGGGTGCAGGCTCCGGGCGGCATGTCTCCCCTCCGGCTCTAACGCAGAGCCACGGCCAGGCGGCTCTGTGTGCTGCCCTGTCCACAAGTGCTGCCCCTGCCGCTCCCATTGGCCGCAGTTCCCAGCCAATGGGAGCTGTGGGGGCAGTGCTTGGGACGATGGCAGTGTGCAGAGCCCCCTGGCTGCCCCTACACGTAGGAGCTGAAGGGGGGACATGCTGCTGCTTCCGGGAGCTGTGCAGAGAGGCGGCATGCATGCACAGAGCACCCGCCCCCACCCTGCTCCCCGGGTGGAGCACAGGAGCAGGGCAAAACCCAGACCCCACTCCCCAGCGGGAGCTCAAGGGCCAGATTAAATAGGCTGGTGGGCCGTAGTCTGCACAGGCCACAGCAGCAAGCCTGCAAGCCCATCTCAACAGACTTGGACTACTGCACTAAACGTAGCTGGGTAGATGTTGTGGCTTGGGCTCTGAAGCCTAGGGAGTGGGGTATGTTTCAGGGCATGAGCTCCAGCCAAGCCCCTGCTTAAAAGTGCTCTCTACACAGCTGTTTTTGCTGTGGTAGTGTGAGCCCAAATCTGTCAACCTGGGCTTGGAGACTCAGTGCCATGGGATGCCACTGGCTGCTGCATAGATATACCCTACATGGCCAAAACGGAGGAGGGGGATCAGATGCACACTTTGCCAGCAGGATTCAGAGCTATTTGCTGACAGCAGAGGACTGGTGTGGCGCAGGACTCCTGGGTTCCCTTCCAGGCTCTGTTAGGGAGTTATTCTAGTAATCGTTTTCCCTTCTGCCATTGGGCTCCCTCCTTGTCTCTAACCCCTCAACTGCTGTTATTTAGATTATCATATCATTTGGGGCCCTGTAGTCACCCACACTAGCTCCTGCCCCTCCTCCTATCCCACTCCCACCATGGCTCCTGACCTCCCAGCTCTGTGCCTATCTTGTCCCTTTCCATTTTCCCCCTATTCTCTGTGTGTGGGTCAGGCCCATTACTCCTCCTCAGTGCAGCCTGGCACAAGCAGGGGGCATTGAGATCACAGGAGAGACACGTGCCTTGCTCTCAGTTCTGGTGCTCAACACCACAATGTCCCCTCTTGACCAGCAGGAAAAATTTAAAGGAAAGCACTGCTCATTGGAGATGGAAACTGGAGAATTTGGCTCCAAACAAACCTCCACTGAGCCTGAGCAAACTGATTTTTTCAAAGGCTTGGGACTTGGCTCCATGTGGGAGGAGCTTCACAGGGCCAGCAAGAGGTACAGCCCAAATATCAAAGCCACTCTGGGATGTTTCAGCTCCCAGCTCCCCACCAGGAGGGTTCTAGAATTTCTCAATGAAGCAGCGAATGGGGCAAAACCTATTCTCCCCCTTCTCCCCCCCCCCCCACTCCACCCCAAAAAATTCATTCTTGCAAACAGCTGCTCCATTTTAGGTGAAACTTTCTTATAAAAAAAATTCAGCCTGAGGTGGACACCTGAGCTGGAAAATTCAGCCCAAATGGCTCAGAATAACTGAAAACAGAGCCTTAGAAAGGAAAACATCAGGACAGCCTTCACTGAAGGCAGAGCTGGTCACAACTGGCTTGGCTGTTTTAAACTATCTCAGCTACACGCACATACCACTATTCCAGTGGACCTAGGCTGCATTAAGGCAAAACCAATCTTCCTAAAGTTTTTAATAAAGAAAAAGCACTGACACATTGCACCAGTGGAGTGGTTGAGGCACTCAGTAAAGATGGAGGAGATCCAGGGTCAAGGCTCTGACTCCAGCAGAGCAGGGACTTGAGCATAGTTCTCCCTCATCCCAAAATACCCTAACACCAGCTATGGGTTATGCTGGGGCAGGTCTCTGTATGAACAGACATTCTATCCTGGACTCAAGAAAGTGGGTAGTGGAGATCACAGCAGAGCTGCAGCAGCTCTGCTGACTAATTCTGCACATCTCGCCTGCTTTTCTTGTGCAGCTGTAGCTCAGACAGGATCTTCCCCAAGACTGGTACAGAAGGTGTTATTGACCTTTGTACAAACACAAGATTCCCATTGCTCTTTGGGCTTTCTGTCCCCCTTATCAATTCTATAGTCCTCTCCTCACTCGGGAGTATGTCACTTCCCAAAGGCAGCTATTCATTCTCTCACCAGCCACTGCCATCCTGCTGGTCAGCCAGGATCCAGTAGCAAACACGAGAGAGGAGCACTGGGATTAGTTAAGTTTCCTCAACTAGCAGTTGGTTTTATACGGTTCCTGCCTGTATTTTGCTTTAGTATCCTCCACTGGCTGAACTGGCCAAGCACAAGGGAAGCATGGAGGGAGTCCTGAGCTTACCAGGATGGTGGCATTTGTACTATACAGAGATACTGGTTGACTAGGCTAACTAGCCCCATTCAAGCCTGCCTAGCAAGAAGACTAGTGATCACACTGAGATGTGGTACAGCACTGATGCTCCATATGCTGTAAGACTCAAGACAAGTTAAGCTCCTTGGTACTGCTGCCAGATGAGCAAAGCAGCTGTTTTCTGGCTGGGAGGTCACAATTGTCCATTCCTGCACAGCTGGTCAGACAAGGAGTAGGCAGGGTTGGGCCCACTTCCATTGAGGCAACAGGCAGGAGTGGCAAGCCCTTTCTCTGGTGCTATCACTGAGGCAGGAGCATCAGTAGAGACACAAGGTGCTTCACTGGGCCTTCCTGTACAGGCTGAGCAGGCTTGAGTTCAAACCCACAACTGCTCACCATGACAAACAGCTTCCACTTAGCCATAGCCAGTAATCGAGGTGAAGAGACAGGGCAGACTATGCCAAGGGAACCAGGAGCCTTCGCAGAGGCATGGGGAGTGGATGGAAAGCTTCCATAAACAATGTGTCTAGCAGGGTTTTTGCCCCGTTGCTCCACCTACACCCATCTCAGGTTTGTTCTCCCCTTCTCACAGGGAGACTGCAGAGCTGGGCACAGAAGAGCCAGAGACACAGTATACCTGGAATGGTTTTAATTCAAGATTCTGGTTTCACAAGCTGCATTTCTCCATCTCCACCATGCAGTTACCAGGAGTGACATGGACAGGCCTTCCCCCCAACTGCAGCACTGGCCCAAGCTGCGGTTCAGGGTGCTCCAGTGCTCAGAGACTAGGGTTACCATATTTCAGCAAGCAAAAAAGAGGACGGGAGGAGCCCCGCCCTAGCCCCGCCCCTGCCCC